AAAAACACCATTAATTCCTCCAACGAAGAAAAGTTGGATATGGATCGAAGAATAGCCCAAAACCAGGAAAGGTTGACACGCTTACAGTCGGAGCGAGAGGATGTTGCCCGCCATCTTTCAACTGTAAAGCGTCTTCTTCAGGTTGCTGACCAAGATATTAAAACTGAAAAGCAGAATCTTCAATTGGCATTGGTTGAATTTCAAGCAAACGAGTCCAAACTTTCGGCTGTTGAAGAAACATACACTGGGGAACAAGCTAGACGAAAACTTCTGGAGTCAAAAGTCATCGTTCTTGGTGATCAACTTCGCTCCCTCTTGGAGGAAGTTCGTGTAAAAGAAGGTCAGATGGAGGAAAGAAGAAAAAAGATTGAAACTGAGAAGCTACATTACATGCAATTAATTGAGGACGAAAGAAGTAAAGCGGCTGAAGAAATGCGTGAGTTACGACAGGAATTTATTGACGAATTGTCTACACGTGACAGACGTTATCAGGAGGAACGTCAAAGAGTTGCACATAACGCTTTTGAAAGAGGTCATTTTCAGGGCATAGAGGACGGGCAGAATGAGGCGTTGCTTGAAGCAGATGCGGCTACGCAGCATCTTGCTCTCACTGCTCAGCGCCACGAAGCGGAAGTGAACGGCATACGTATTCGCTTAAGGAGTGCAAAAGGAAAAAACGAAGCTGACGCTTGTCGATTGACATCCCAAGCTTCAGCACTTCATGGGGCGATTGACAATCTAATGGGGGAAAATTCACAGATGGAAACAGAGTTTGACTCATTGAAGAGTGCAAAGGAGTCTGTTGAAGATGATGCCTTTCAAGAACTCAGGTATGCCATCGAGCAGCTATCAGTTGCCGTGGGACGACAGGATCTCCTTGCAATAATACACTCTTTACGAGTCAAAAGGGATGTTAGCTATGCATTTGAGACACAAAGAGAAGCAGAACGACAACGAATTTTAAAAGAGGAACAGAAGGAGGTTTATGAGTGGGTTTCTGGAGTGGTTGATGGAAAATATGTTTCGTTTCCTAGTATGCGCGCACAGTATTTGACTGAGCCACCGATTCCGTACGTTCCAGATGTTCCTTTCTTGAATGAAATGGAGCCATCGGAAAAAATTTTTGATTCAAAAGTTCAGGATGAAGTAAATAAACAGGAAGTTCTTCTTCAGTTTGATCCGGATGAAATGGATCGTCGCTATCAGGAGCTTTTGTCGGAGCTGACTTGTACGAATCCTGTTCTAGAACTAGACCTAAAAAAGAATTCCTCAAAGTTGCTGTATGATGCCCCGTCAGCAAACAGTTTGTCTCAGACCCAAGATGGAAAAACCGTTTATGAGGGCACTCGTAACTCACCATCCTCAGAATTGACGGCAAACGCTCCAAAGATAGATCAACAGAAAGTAAGCGAAGAGGGTGTTTCATCGCAGCCATTGCCATCCCAAACTGGGGTTCAGGTCTTTGTTTTAAAGCAAGAGGAAGAAGGTGATTGTGGTCCCCTTGTAAAGCCTGATATCACTGTGGAGAAGGTGCAAGAGCCATCGCATGCCATTTCTCCTAAAGATGGATTATCAGAAAAAACTCTGGCGGAGAAAAAGTGTCCGTCCATCACCTCGACCTCTTCTGGAAAGCCAACGTCAGTTCATCAGATCAAGGGGTCTGAAAAACAAATAGCACCTCCACAAAATCGAGGGGTGCCTTCTCGAGTTTGGAGGCCTAATTTCAGTGATTCAGATTCTGACATTAACCCTCCGGTGTTATCTAAGGAGGCTGCAATGCGCAGCTCGACGAAAGTGGCTCCGCAAAAGAGGTCTTTATTTGATGATAGTGATTCCTCTGATGGCTCAATAAAGTAACTTTTTAACGCGGCTGAGCCAAGAACTGTTTGGATTTGCACAGTGTTCTTGGTATGAATACATCTTTTTGTGTGTGTTTAGGGTTTGTTTGCTGAGGGCGGCTGAGATTTTGCTATGCCAACGAGAAATCCAAACGTGATTTTGCTTCTGCTTTATCGTAGTTTTTGAACAGATTCAGGGATGAAGGATCTATCCCATTACCCAATTTGTTGAATTTTGTTTGTTGTTGGAGGAAATTTTATATTTTTGATTATTATTATTATTATTATTATTTTTTGATATTTTATGTGCATTGCTAAGGGAATTTTCAAAAGATCCCTATCTGGGAAGGAATCGATGTTTCGTAGGGCAATTCTTCTTGGATGCAGCGCTGCGAAAACTCCATGGAGTGAATGTAGTAATGCTCAACTTGTGGATGCTGTGAAGTCCCGCAAAATTTCATTTTATGGCTTGGAACAGGCATTGGAGCCTGATTACAGGCGTGCCATTGAGGTGCGTCGTGAGGTGGTCTCCGAAATTGCTTCCCAGCAGCCAGAAGCCAAGAAAAAACAGAGTGCCCTGCATACTATCCCCTTTGAGAATTATGACTGGAACAGGGTTGTCGGTCAAAACTGTGAAAATATCATAGGATATGTACCAATTCCGCTTGGTGTTGCCGGGCCAATACTTATTGACGGAAAGGAGTACCCTATTCCTATGGCTACAACGGAGGGGGCGCTTGTAGCTAGCACCCATCGTGGCGCTCGAGCCATAACACGATCTGGCGGTTGCAAGACACTTTTGTTAGGTGAGGGCATGACAAGGGCTCCCGTGGTGGAGCTTCCATCTCTGGAGGAAGCGGGAAGGCTTCATAAGTACTGTAATGAAAATTTCTTATCACTAAAGGAGGCTTTTGAGTCCACAACGCAGTATGGGAAGCTGAATTCGCTAAAGTGTGTTTTGGCAGGACGAAAAGCGTATCTCCGGTTCCGTGCGACCACGGGTGATGCAATGGGAATGAACATGATCACAAAAGGCGTGGATAAAGCCTTGTCAGTCCTGCAGCAGCATTTTCCTTCAATGGAGATCCTTGCTTTATCAGGTAATTATTGCACAGACAAGAAGCCATCAGCGGTAAACTGGATTGATGGACGTGGAAAGTCGGTAGTAGCAGAGGCTACATTGCTTGCTGAAGTCGTTGAAGACACCCTGAAATGCACAGTTGACAGCCTTGTATCTCTTAATATTGATAAGAATCTTGTTGGTTCAGCTATGGCTGGGTCTGTTGGTGGATTCAACGCACAAGCTGCGAATGCCGTTGCTGCCATTTTTATTGCGACAGGGCAGGACCCAGCGCAGGTGGTGGAGTCTTCAATGTGCATTACGACCATGTCAAAGGTGGGCAATGATCTTCTTATCTCCGTGACAATGCCAAGCATTGAGGTTGGTGTTGTTGGAGGGGGCACAGGACTGGCGGCGCAGCGAGGCTGTTTAGAGTTGATTGGGTGTGGCGGCCCGAGCAAGGAATCACCGGGTACAAATGCACAGTTGCTTTCTCGTGTTGTCGCTGCGGGTGTACTTTCAGCTGAGCTTTCTCTCATGTCTGGCTTGGCCGCGGGTCACCTCCTAAGCGCCCACATGCGCCTGAATCGCAAGAAGAAGTGAAGCGGGGAAAAAACAAAAAGCACGCTGATCAACCCCATCTTCACACTCATACAAATTCAGGTGAGGAAAAAAAAAAGTGAAACAAAATTTTAATTGAAGGGCGTTCTGGGAGGAATGCAGGCCGGGGAACGAAGAAAGGGTGATGAAGAGGAGGAAGAAACTTATAATAATAATAATAATAAATAATGCTCTACAAGCTCCAAATGCAAAAAAAAAAAAGCAAAGCAGGAAAAAGAGACCGCGGACAATGAATAATTATTTTTGGTTGTGCAAGTGTAAACTGATAGGGGGATCGCCAGAAAGGTGGGGTGATTGAAAAAAAAAAAAAAGATAATAAACACGAAGATTAATAATAGGAAGTGATCTTTGTGATGAAACTCTGATCGCTCCTTTGGTGATGTGATCATCGGGAATTTGTCGCCTCTGTATCTTGATGGGTTGTCTGTTGGCACGCATCGTTCGAAGAAAGGCAAACGGACGGCGTGCGACGAGGTTTTTATCTTGGAAACTCATTCTACCTCTTGTTGATGATGATGGAGCTTCCTGTTGCCCGGCGAGAGGCTGTGAATATTTTCACTCCACGCGTACTAGCCTTCAAGTGGCGGTGGTGACGTTTTTGAATGGAATGCGGCGGGTGTTCTTTGGATAGGAGCTAATTTTATTTGCGTTGTGATCTTGTTTTCTCCTTTTGTTGTTATTGTTGTGTTCTTGCTTTTTTCTCTAAATGGGAGGATTTGGGCATTGTGAGTGAAGAGGATGGCGTGGACGGAGAGGAAAGAAATAGAGAGGGGAAAAAAAAACGGAGCATGAATTTTTGGGTGAGGGGTTTGCAAGAGACATAGCCTCATAACTCCTCAGGGAAACACCTTTATTGAAATCTATTTGGTTTTCTTTTCTTGACCTCCTGTCTAGTGACCCGGGCGAACTCTTTTCCCTGCCGTCTTGATTCTATGCATTCATCATCAATACTAACGAAAATAACCTTTGATGAAGCAAAATACGACACACACGCACAAGCAGTGAGGAAACATTTTAAGGCGACTCATGTCTTCATCGGCGATATTGTTTGTGGGGAATCTGCCCGCAGTCACGAATGCCCAATACCTTGAGCGTCTTTTTTATGCCTACGGCGAAGTGAAAAATGTAAAGATGCACCAGGAAGGCATCCATCCATACGCAGAAGTGACGTATGGTGCTGTGGATGACGGGGACTCTGCGATAGCAGCGCTCCATGGTAACTACTGCGCGTCAAAAGACCTTCCTCTAGTAGTTTTATACCACCGCAGTAGTCCAGTGGTCTCGCAATACGGTCTTAAGGTGGGAAAAGAGTACGCTGCTGCCTTTGCAGAGAATCGTGACCCTTTGCCCATACCGTTAGAGGCCTTCGATGAGAAGTTTGAGCGAACCGACGTACCACCTCCACCTTCAGAGAGGGAAATATTTGAAGGATCCAACTGGAGTAGCTACAATAACGCATCACATGATGTCGGCGGAAATGTTTAATTTTTTACCGTTTTATTATTATTATTATTATTATTATTATTATTATTTATGTGTTCTCTATCTAATTTGCAATATGCCGCAGTTTTTGTGAAATGGATACTTTACAGATGGGGGAAAGAGAAAATGATTTCAATTCTTATTCACTTTTCTGGGCACCAGTTACATGCGCGCTGCGACCGAATGAAAAAAGAAAAGAAAAACGTTGTTTTTTTTTTTTGTTGTTGTTGTTGTTGTTTTTGCTTTTTTTTTTTTCTTTTTTCTTCTTCATTGCCTATTGTATCATACGAGAAATAATGACCGATGATCCTGCTTCCACGGTGCCGTTACTGAACCCCGATGAAAGGGCAATGGCTTATGGATTGCGGGGGTTTGAGATCTCCCGAAGGCCATACAAAGCAGCAACACCTGAAGGATGCATTCCAAAACAACGCTGGGGGTCGGCACCGCGGGGCGCTGTTGTTTACCTAAAGCCGGGCTCTGGATCATTCCAGGATGTGCTTGCGCCGTCGCCCCGCGGCAGTTTGTTATTGTATCCGAAGAGAGAATTGGGTAGTGAAGAAGAGACAAAAGTTAATGGGGATGTCCCTGGCATCCCTGGGGCGAAAAAACCGTCGTTGGGGCAACTACGTGCAACCGCAATAGCAGGAAATGAAATAGCATCATCTTGTATCTACGCAACCGGGATTGTTGTTTCTGCGGCTGGACGTTTGGCCTGTTTTTCTTCATTACTTGTTTCTGTTGTGTTGTACATTTTTCGTTGGATTTACACGGAGATGTTTGGCCCTCAGCCTACGAATGGTGGTACATACAACGCCTTGCGGAAGGCTTTTGACAAAAACTGGGCATCGCTGGCGGCTATTTTATCAACACTTAGCTACGTCGCAACTGCGGTGACCAGTGCTGCATCTGCTGGGGACTATCTTCAATTTCAATGGAATGCTATGCCGTCGAAATCGATTTCTATTGGTATTCTTATTTTTTTTGCCGTGGTAAATTTATTTGGCATGAGGGAGTCCTCCCACGCAGCATCACTAATTTTTTTGCTTCATCTCTTGGTTCTTTGTGTGCTAGTTGTCTCCGCCCTCGTGTACGTCTGCAGAGATGGTGGAAAAGTGCTTCGTGATAGCTGGAACTCCCCCTCTTTAGCTGCTAATCCGTATGATCAATGGATCACTTGTATTTTTTTTGGTTATTCCAGTGCATTATTGGGAGCGACAGGCTTTGAATCCAGTTCCAACTACATTGAGGAACAAGGCGAAGGCGTGTATCCAAAGACCCTTCGTAACATGTGGTTTCTTGTGACTGTGATTAATCCAACCTTGATGATACTGGCTATAGGTGTTATTCCCATTGAGGTTTTAGTAAAGAATGCTGATTTTAGTTTGGCTCTATTAGCCCAGATAGCTGTGGGAGATTGGTTAAAAATGATCGTGGTATTTGATGCGGCGTTTTCCTTATCCAGTGCTGTTCTTAGCGCATACGTCGGTATCCAAGGCCTTCACCGACAACTGGCCCGTGATCACGTCATGCCTGCATTTTTTTTATCTGTAAATCGTTGGGGCGGAAGTAATCATTTTATCATTGTTGGCTTTTGCTTAGTATCATGTTCGCTTCGTCTTCTTGTTGACGACATGTCTTCCCTTGGAGGAGTCTGTGCCGTTGCTTTTTTAAGTGTACTGATGCTTTTGTGTCTAAGCAGTCTTTTCCTCAAGTACAAGCGCGGCAGATTGCGTGGAACTCTAATGATTCACCCCTTCGTTGTGTTATTGGCACTGTTTTTGGTGACGGCGGGTTTCGTTGGCAACGTCATACGCGCTCCCCGGAATGCCATGTACTTTGCCATTTATTTTTTTATTTTTTTGTTTGTTGTGTCCGTTACAAGGCTGCGGGTGTCTCTTTCTCGGGTGTTGCACGACCTCATCCCCAGCAACTGCCATTGGGCAAAGGAGAAAATGGGCGACATTGTTGCATCGATGCGGCATTGTCCCGTAGTGTATTTTGCGAAGCATGCTGATATTAACGTGCTGAATAAAGCCATCCAGTACATTGTGGACAATGAAGACACACACATGGTAAAAGTCATCCACATGGTGGGGCGTAGTCTTCCACCCACTGCCAGCTCGGCCTCTCTAAAAAAATATGGCTCGGAGAGAGATGTACACCAAGACAAGGAGGAGAGCGCGGAATCTTTTTTACGCTTGGAGGATGAAAATGAGTTGACAACGATGCGCGAACTGGAACAAAGCTGTGCCATCATTGATCAACTCTACCCAAAACTCACAATTGAGCTCCTGTTTGTACTTTCTCCATTCACCCCGAGAGTTTTTTACGAAATTTCGACTGAGCTTAACGTGCCACGCGAACTTATGTTTATGGGTTGCCGTGGCGATTGCTTTTCACAGATTTTGGATCAATTTGATGGCGTGCGTGTCATCAATTACTGAATATTGAGTAAACATAGATTGTTCTTGCGCGGCCTTTTCTTATTATTAATATTATTCCTTATTTTTAGTTACTTTTGTCTGTACTTCCTCAGTTCGGTGCTTCTTTTTTTTTCTTTTTTTGAACTTCTCCGCCTCCTAAACAAACATATATTTATTTATTTATTTATTTATTTATTTATTTATTTATTTGTTTATTTATTTATTTTTGTTGTACTGCCTTGTTTTATATAATGTTATATATATATATGTAACGTTTGTATTGGTGTTTTTCTTGCTATTGTTTTATCCTGTTTTTCTTAATTTCTTTTCCATCCTGGGAATTTAACAAGGTTATCAATGAGTAGGGGTGTTTGCGTGCATTATGTCAAACGGCTCTAACGATCACACCGGCGCTTCCCACGACCTCAACGGCGAGTACAAAGCGTTATTGGAGGAGTTGCACGTGCTGCAGGCGGAGTGGCACAGTACGGCGTCACGTAAGGCGGAACTGGAGGCATCTGTCACCTCGGCTACCGCACAGAGCGACGCGGTGGAGCCCATTCGTTGTCGTCTTTTTGAGTTGCGGAAGGAATGTGCCTTACTTAACCAGCGGAACGAATTCCTTCAGCTTCAGATAGATGAAGCGAAGGAGCTTTACAAACGTGCCTGTGGAGAATCATCTGCTCTCGTCGGGGATGCTTTAGAGGAGAAGGAAAATCTGGAAGAGGAGTACATGCAGGTGATGCGTTTTGTTGACCAGTTTGACCCAAACCTTCAAGAGGACGCGGCGCTGCTGAGGGCTGCCCTTGCGGAGCAGCGCGTGGAGATACGTGTGCTGCAAGAGATGCTGGATGCCGTCAAAGAGTCCGTCGTGCCTGATTACTTTAGTGAGCCTCTGCAAAATTCCGGTGCGCTTTTCAGTTCACATCCCAACCCCTGCGTGGAAATTCAAATGGACGACGTCTTCATCCCGGTGCCGCACGGAAGACTGCGATTGCTTACCGGCCCCCGTGGCGATGGTCTGCAGCAGCTGCGGGACCGGCATAAGGTGACGGCATCTGTCGTCTGTTTTAACGATATGGTGGCGGTGAGGCTGCGAGGGCACAAGGCAGGCGTTGAAAACTGCGGAAATGACATTCGTCGTGTCTTGTCTCTTCAAGAAGAGCGGCATGAAATCCTGAAAGGGAAAGGGGAAAAGCAAAAAAAAAAAGAAGCAAAAAATACGCATACACATACAAGCAGAAAAACTTTCCCTACTTCTTTTGTATCGTCTTGATTATTTAAATGTCATCTCAATTTCTTCTTCTCCCACCCCACCACTCATAACCGCCAGTGGAAAATGTTATGCAATATTAGTAACCATCGCTCACTCTTCTTGGGCGTCTCTGTATTTCATTTTCTTTTCTTTCTTTTTTCCTTTTTTTTTTTACTTGTTACTCTTTCCAATTCTTGTTTTATTTTGCTTTTGCGTTGAGGCTGGCGAACGTGATGGACGTGAACAGTGCTCGCGTGGAGAGGCTCCGCCGTGTCAACCGCTACAAGGCGGTGCAAGCGGAACTTGCCCTTCAGCGGGAAGAGGAGGAGATCCGGGCAAGTCGGGAAAGAAAGATGAACGCCGCTGCTCGCGACGAGGCGCTTGCAAAGCAGCTAGCAGAGGAGCAGCGTCTCGAATTACTGGACACCAAAATGCTTCAACTTGCTCGCGACTTTCCGGAGCTGCGGAACTTGGAGGCGCAGCTAAAACATGCCTTAATGAAGCAAGGGCGAAAGGACCCAGTTGAGGAGATACGGCAGTTAAAAGAAAAAAAGTTACAGGAGGAGAGGAACTACATCGCATATTTGAACGAGCAGGAGGAACTGGCAAAGGCCAAGGAAGAAGAACGGCGTAGAAAAGAGTTTGAAGCATTTCAGCGGCATCAGGCGGCGCAGATGGATCTTATTGAGGAAAGGAAGACCGTTGCTGAGAAGGAGGCCGCGGACCGACGGAAGGAACGCATAGCTGTTGACGCGGTAGTGGCTCGGGCCCAGGAGAAGGATTTTCTTGACGCCTTGGAGAAGCGTGAAAAACAACGACAGTTGCAGGCTGAACAGGATGAGTTCTACCGACTTCGTGCAGAGGTTAAGGAGGCAGAGAGAAGGCGCGCTTTACAGGAGGAGGAGGCCATCAACGCCTATCACGCTGAGCAAAGCCGTCGGAAGGAAACGAACGAGAAGTTGGCACGTGAGAGGGAAGCCATCAAAGCCCGAATTCTTGAGGAACAGAGCAGGAAAATTGCGGAGGAGCAAGCCAAGCGGGAGGAACTGGAGACTTTGTTAAATGATTACTACGAGGCGGAGCGCTTGGCAAAGGAACGCAAGGCGATGAAGGATGAAAAAGAGGCGCGGGAGAGGTTTGCAGAGGAGGTGAAACAGGAGAATTGGCGGCTCATTCAGGATCGTCTAAAGGAAAAAGAGGCGGAGCGCGCCGAAGAAATCAGGTTGCGTCAGTTGATGATGGAAGATCTTGCGAGAAAAGCCAAATTGGAGCGTTTTTCGCGGCAACGCCAGATGCAAATTAAGCGTGAACACATACTGGAGGCTGAAAAGATGCTTGAGGCACGCAGGGAGCTCAAGCGGGAAGAGGAGCGCCAGTCTGCACTTGTAGAGGAGCGGGAAAAGAAACGCCAAGAAGAACTACTGGAGTACGTTCGTCGTGCACGTGCACAACTTCTTGCTGACTATTTGCCAAAGCTAGGCGAATTTGTGCCAGCACACGTGCTTACGGTGGATGAAAAGAGACAATATGGTATCATAAAGTAAAGTGGTTTCTTCTCTTTTCTTTTTTCTTTTTTTTTTCTGAAGAGATATGTTCATGTCAGGGTTCCTATTACTACTGCAACGATCACATTGGTTTTTTTTTGTTTTTTTTAGATTGGGGGAACCCAACCCAATGTATAATTTATTCTTTGGAGGAAGTGTTTGCCGTATGCGGCTGCGCGTTGAGGTGTGGAGACTCCCGTTTTGTGTGGGAAAAGAGGAGTTGCCGTCGCCGCATTCAAAAACATTTATTTATTTATTTATTTTTATTTTTTTCACTTTGTCGGGGGATTTTGTGCGATTTATTTTTAGTCTCCACTTTCAAAATGCGGGCTACTTCCAGTCGAATGCTGAAAAAGATTTCGAGCGATAAGGTGTGGAAGGCGGTGCCGCTTCCGCAGCCGTTTCACACGGCTCTTGAGACAGGCGACTGGGTGAAGGCGCTCCACGTTTATCAGCGGCATTCTTATCATGCACCGCCCGTTGACACCTTTGACCTCTTGAAGGCTGTCATGCACGCGACGGGTGTGCGAGTGGATGACGTAAAGAGCCGATTTAATGAGAAGATACGCCTGTCTGCCATTCTACAGAAAAAAACACCTGACGAAGTGGAGTGGAGTGTTTTTTGGGAAGCCCTAAACAAAGGTGACTCAAAAACGATTAGTGCCGCCCTTATGGGCGCTCGTCTATCAAGCATCACACAGCAGATAACCACAGCGGAGGCATGTGCTGTATTGTTGAAGTCGGCTGGAGAAGACTGGGAGGCCAAATTAGTGGACAATTTTCCATTTGCGACCGTGACGCGTTGCAATCTCGTTCATGTGGCGTTGGCTCAGAAGCGGTGGGACGTCGCGGTGGAGCTTCTTCGCAATGTGAGGATAAATCGTAGTGACGTGATGACCCTGTGGCCACTGATTGAAGAGCTGGACTGGGAAAAGGTGCTTCTCCTCATATCAGCGTGTCCAAAAAATTCAGTGCCATTTGACCTTGCGTTACGCCACATTCTTCGCGGCGGATGCAGCTTGCAGTACCTTGCGGAACATTTGGAGAATGCGCGTGTTCTTGGTGATGCGGACGTTGTGGCTCCGCTTCTAGCTCACGCGGTGGAAATTGGCGATTGGGACTTTGTTGGCAGAGGAATGGAACATCTTGTTGACATTGGACAGATAACGCAGCCGGCGCGAGAGGTGTTTGAGCACATGGGAAAGATACACGGCATGGAAACGGTGTGCGCTCGCCTGGAGGAGCATCGCATTCCCCTTCATCATGTGACGGTGGAAAATTTAGAGAGTCTCAGACTGTGAGTGCTGAAAGAAGGGGAATAAAAAGAAGAAAAACGGTGCTCGAGACGAAAGTGACTGTTTGGGTGGCGTATATTTCTTTCTTATGCTTCCGTCTTTTTTTTTTCTTTTTTTTTATCACATGCGATGTTTTTTGCTCACGTTTGTTCCATTCAGACGCAGCAATGCGTGAGGTGGTCTTCTGGCAGCCGTCACTCTCCTGTTTTGAAGCGACACCCCGTGACAGTTTCTTTGCGTTTTGTTTGCCTCCCTCCCTTTACAATTTACGTACTCCGTTTACTCTTTTGCAGTGAATTACACGAGAAGGACCACTGAACCCTTTTTTCTTTTCCTTTAATTATTATTATTATTTGCGCAGTAATTCTAAAATAAAAAATACGCGAGCCATGCGGTGGGTGATAGTTGTATTTGCTTTATTTGCCTTGATGGCTGTGGGATCTCTGGCCCAGCTTGATACACTGCCGTTCCTATTTGTCTCCAAGTCCGTCTCAGACGACTACGTGGTAGCTGGTAACAGCGTGGAGTTTACTGTCACTGTTTACAACTACGGCCAGAGCCCTGCGATGGATGTGACAGTCACAGACATTTTGGTGGACGGCACGAAACGTACAAAGCGTGTAGAAATGCTTTCCTTTGGAGAGAGTGCCGTGCTGAAGTACACCGTAACACCGAAAGAGCTTGGCAACTACGTTGTTGGCGTTGCGGAGGTGACATATGCCCTGGAGAAGGGGAAGCCAGCTACACACAGAGCGTACAGCAATGTCATTCGCGAGAGTAATGCGCACTTCCTGGGAGAAAAATACGACGACGAGAGTTTTCGTGGAGTTGTGTCGGTTGTAACGCGGGAACGTTACGATCGTTTACACAAGCGGTATATTCGTGAAATTGTGGCGTATAGTATACTCTGCGTCATTCCCGCGCTTTTTCCTTTTTTTGTTTACCGCGCGGAGCAAAATCAGGTGGAACTTCTGATTCGCCGCTCCAAACTCAACAAGTAGCAGCATCCATTACAATGTTGCGGCTTGTAAACGCCAGCGGGGTGTAAATCATGTGCGCGAGGGCTTCTGTGTGATGAATGTGGATATTGTGCTGGTCCACCTTCACAAATGACCCCTGAAATGAAATGAAATGAAGGAAACGCAGAGAAAAGTACATACATCCGTAAAAAGAGAACTGAGAAGGAGAATGATGAAAAGGAATAAAAAAGGTTGCGAGGGTGAAGAGATAGAAGGAAGAATAGAGATGTATTGAAAAAAGGTGGAAAGAACAAGATGAAACACCGTAAGAATACAGACATGTGGAGTAAAGGAAGGAGAAGAACTGAGAAAGGCGGTGTGTGCGCTCATTCTTTTAATTCCACTTGGTTTATTCCCTCTCACCTTGTTGCATGCATATACTTCTTTTTTTTTCTTTTTTTTTTCATGTGTGTATGTGTGTGTGTGTTTGCTCTCCGTGGCTCATAGTTGCGGTGAGTGTCTGTCCGTCGCTTCTCTCAGCTGCTTTTCGCTCACGGTTTTCTTTTTTCTTCCTCACCTCTTTTCATAATTTTCCCTGTGGCGCAGCGCCGGTTACGCCAACGGTAGCGATCAGCACTTTTTGTCTTTTACTCGACACAAAAGTGGTGGCATGACGACGAACGCCGTACGTGACGATTCAGACAGAACGCCTCCACTGTTGGGCCTCGTTCCGAGCGATCATGGCGCGGCCAAGGACGGCGCTAGCGGCGTGAATCTTGAGCGTAACAGGCGGAGTATAACCGCGTGGCACCAGACGAGGCTCAACAACATTATTCTTGAGGAAATACGGAAGGCATGTGTTTCGCGTGATGATCACCGACTGATGCTAAAGCAACTCATCTCCACTGCGTACCACAAGGATCCACAGCGCAAGGCCAACATTGACAAGTGGAAGGGCATTATGCTGGCCGTCGAAAAGGAGTATGCTGGCGCCAACGCACTTTTTAGTATCTCCCCCGACCCGTACCAGCGGGTGCTGGCGAAAATCTCATCGATGATGATATGGGACGGGGAGGTGCGTCACTGGGAATACAGCTACTGCACCGAGGAGATTGCACGACGCCACTCACGACACATAGAAGTACTGACACAACTACAGCGGGCGGGGAAACATTTTCTGAATGTGTGACGCTTATTATTATTATTATTATTATTATTATTATTATTATTATTATTATTATCATTGGCACTGCTCTCTCTCGTAACAAAAAGGATGGATACGACGCAAATCAGGTATGAAAGCTTATATGCAAAAACCCAATCTAAACACGCACTGCAAAATGGAAGGAAACGAAAAAGAGGAAGAATAAAAAGTCTGAAAAAATGAAGTGAAAATAGAAAATGCCGTCACCTGAAGAATTTTAGAGTTTTTTTTTTTTTTTTTTTTGTGCGTGTGTTGAATGCGCGATTATTTTAACCTTGTTGAAACGCTTTTCATTCCCTTTTTGTTAACCGGCCTCCTGCCTGATTTTTGCCCATTTGCAAAGAAGGGTTCATATTGTTCCTTTCAGCACTGGTCATTTCTTTTTTTTTTTTCTCTCGCTTCCCACAGCACCTATCCGCCAACAAATCAGTGAAGTAAACAGGACCGGTGCAAGGACGGTTTTTGCGCAGGGACGTGCACCTTTATAAGGGGTCATGGTGTTTTTTTTTTCTTTTTAAATTGTTGCTTGTGCGTCTCACTGACTTTTTTCGGGCGTTCGGGATGAAAGGGAAAACCGGCTTTTGTAAAGTGCGCCACTCTGATTGGGGTGGCAGGGTGGAGGGAGGGAGAATGCGCTCCCAGAGAAATAGACAATTTGAAGGAAAACGCCTTTGAAAGGGAGGGAGAACACGCAATAAAATAAAATAAAGTTTGCGTATATAATTGACGCATAGACACATGAAAATGAAAGTAATGGACTTTTTTGCCTCATCCCTTTTGCATTTGAAAGGGGCGTTGCTCAGATGAACAATTCTTCTTTTTTTTTTTTTTTGTCTGTTAATTTATTTTTATAGAAGAGATCCACCGCATTGAGTCTTTGAGTTTTTGTGTTGTTCAGCACGTTTCGTGGGCGAATTTCTCTGATGAAGCGGCTGACCCCGCAGATGGCTGCGGCCTATACCCCCAAGGATGTGGAGAGTGAATGGTATGAGTGGTGGGAAAAGTCCGGCTTCTTCCGCCCTGCATCGGATTTGGGCCGCAAGCATAATGGCAACACGTTTGTCATTGTATCCCCTCCTCCCAACGTCACTGGATATTTGCATCTTGGCCACTCCTTGACAGGTGCTGTGCAAGATACACTTATTCGATTCCATCGCATGAAGGGCGACAACACTCTTTATGTTCCTGGTACAGACCACGCCGGTATTGCCACACAAGTGGTTGTGGAGAAACGTCTCTTGCGAGAATCCGGTAAGACGCGTCATGATCTTGGTCGGGAAGAGTTTTTGAAGCGTGTGTGGGATTTCAAAGAAAACCATGCACACGTGATTACCCGTCAACTTCGACAAATTGGTCTCAGTCTGGATTGGACACGAGAGCGCTTTACGATGGATGACCATTGCGCAGGTGCGGTGCTGGAGGCGTTTGTGAAGTTGCATGAAGATGGCCTGGTGCGCCGCTCCACTCGTCTTGTGAATTGGTGTTGTGCACTGCAAAGCGCCATCTCCGACTTGGAGGTGGAATTTGCCGATGTGCCAAAAAATGCAAAAATTGCCATACCAGGATACGACAAGAAGGTCGATATGGGTGTTTTGACGCACGTTGCCTACAGGTTTGAGGATAGCGATGATGAGATTGTTATTGCCACAACTCGACCGGAGACTATTCTGGGTGACACGGCGGTGGCAGTCCACCCGGATGATGAACGGTATAAGAAATATCATGGCAAACGCCTGAAGTGCCCTTTCCGTGATGAGACCATTCCTTTGATTCTCGACCCTGTATTGGTTGACGTGAGTTTTGGCACAGGTGCCGTAAAAATTACTCCCTCCCACGATCCAAATGACTTTGAGGCGGGGGTACGTCACAACTTGCCACAACTGACAATGATGGATCTCAATGGACGGATTACCATTGATGGCCCTTTTAAAGGAATGCATCGTTTTGATTGCCGACGTGAAATTGTGAAGGAACTGGAGAAGATGGGGCTTCTGCGTGATGTGGTCCCGTACGAGTACCGTGTTGGTCGCTGTAGTCGTACAGGTGACATTGTGGAGCCACTTTTGATGCCACAATGGTTTGTTGACTGCAGCGAAATGGCCCGTAAATCTGTGGAGGCGGTACGTAATAAAGAGCTGCGTCTTTACCCTTCTTCGCACGAAGCGGTTTGGTTTCACTGGTTGGAGAATATAAAGCCGTGGTGCGTCTCTCGACAGCTGTGGTGGGGACACCGTATCCCTGCGTACAAATGCTCGGGTGTGGTGCCATCCAACCACGAAGATCCATGGGTGGTGGCTCGTAACATTGCGGAGGCAAGGTCCAAGGCACGTGCGAAATTTAACTTGACCGACGCGGAGGTGGAACAACTGGTGCTGGACCAGGATCCAGATGTGCTTGATACGTGGTTTAGTTCTGCCATGTGGCCTTACTCTACCCTTGGCTGGCCAGGGGACACAGACGATATGCACAAGTTCTTCCCTGGTAACCTAATGGAGACCGGTCACGACATTCTCTTTTTTTGGGTTGCACGCATGGTGATGACGTCACTTCATTTCACAGGAAAGTTGCCATTTTCAGAAGTGTTTTTGCACGCTATGGTGCGTGACAAAAATGGTGAGAAGATGAGCAAATCCAAAGGGAATGTGATTGACCCACTTTTTATTATTAATGGTATCACTCTTGAGGGGCTGCACTCCACGGTGACGAATGGTAATTTGGATGAGAAGGAAGTTCCCCGGGCGTTAAAGTTGCAGAAGGAGACGTTCCCGAATGGCATTCCTGAATGCGGTAGCGATGCACTCCGGTTTGGCCTTCTTTCATATACTCAATCAGGAAGAAGCGTCAATCTTGACATTGATCGCATCGTCGCCTACCGCCAATTTTGCAACAAATTATGGAATGCAGTGCGGTACGTCCTCTACCACGCATTGGGAACGGAATACAAACCGGGCCTGACAGTGATCGACGTTTTAAGGGCGGAGAGTTATCCGCTGGAATGCCGTTGGATTCTCTCCCGTCTTGATGTGGCGGTGGAGGAATGTACCCGCGGGTTTTCAGAGGGCTCCTATGACTTTGCCCTTACCACTAACGCAGCCTACCGCTTCTGGTTGTATGAGCTGTGCGATGTCTTCCTTGAGCTGACGAAGTTTTCCATTCATGCTGGTGGTGATAGAAAGCAGCTGGTGCAGGATGTATTATTACATGTGGTGGAAGTCGCACTCCGTCTGCTTCACCCCATGATGCCTTTTCTCACAGAAGAGCTCTGGCATCGCCTACCAAATTACAATACTTTTGGGGTGGAGAGTATCATGCTCGCCCCGTACCCCGCAGTGGCTGGATGGAAGAATGACACGGTGGAGGAGAAGATGAGGATTATGATGGATACCGTACGCAATGTCCGTTCCACCAAAGCCTCATATTCTCTTACAAACAAGCATAAACCGGATGTGTGGATTACCGCACAAACCGCAGAGGTGAAGCAGTTGCTTATGGATCACAGCTACATGGTGATTTCCCTCGGTGTGGTGGGAAATGTTTCCGTCATTTCGCCGGAGGAAGTGGAGGCCAATGTTCCAAAGGGCTGCGGGTTTTCTGTTGTGAACAAGGAGGTGGGCGTCAACATGATGCTTTTGGGTTTTATTGACGTACAAAAGGAGGTTGCGAAGCTCGACAAGCAGCTTGTAGGACTTCAAAAGCAGATTGAAGGCCTAAAGAAAAAGATGTCCATTCCAAACTACGACATGAAAGTACCTGCGGATGTGCGGACTGCGAACAGTGAGAAGCTTGACACGCTCACGGCACAGGAGAAGCAAATTCTAGAAGGCCTGGAAAAAATGAAGAGCATTCTTTAGACGTGTGAGGAACGCCCAACAACGCACGCACGCACAAATAAAGCTTAAGGAAGGTCAAATGAGGCAAGAGAAGCAACAAGAGACGTGCAATTCTTTAAACATTGGGATGCTAAATTGATTTAAATGGTCACCTTCGTTGCTGTTGTTATTTGTAGGGGAAACAGAGGGAAAAAAAAAAAAGAAAGGAAACAGAAAATGCCGTTCGGTTTTGTAACAATCCCAAGAACACAATTGGGTCAATTAATGTGCGAATCTTCTGTGAGTTGTGTGCGTGAGAAATATGTTTTTCCCCCTTTGGGGCGAATTTTGTTTGTCCTTTTTTTCTTGTGTGTCTGTTTTCAGCCTTCCCCACATCTTTTCTCCTCTTTTTTTTTTTTAATTATTTGGCCTCAAAACAACAACAACAACGAAATAACACGCAAAAAGGAAAAAAGGGAAGCAAATTTTAAAACTAAACCTTTTAAATTTTCTCGACGGTTGAATTTTTTTTTGCTCTTTTTTTTTATATATATTGCGTGTTTTTGACCCTCACCTGAGAGCAAATGTTGGAGAGCACCTGGGCAGCCGCGCGGGAGGAGGTCCCGGAATCCGTGCATGCCTTGATGGCGATGTGGGGAGGGTTTGATGGGCCACGCAACGCCAACGATTGCGGTATTGAGAAACGACTGGAGCTGGATTTTCGCGGGGTTATTGTGCCGAGCGAAGTGTCGGTGTTGGACCTCGAGTCTGTCATGTCACACGCCGGGGAGTTGTTGGAGCGGCACTCCGCCGAAAAGGGCCTTATTTCCCTTGTGTTTGGAAACAGTCTGATGCAGTTGACGCAGCGACACGTCATTGTGACATCATCTTCCTCTGTGCTACTGCATGAAATTTTGGGTCCGCTGCTCGACCTTCTTCGCAGCCACGGCATTGATATTGAATGGGCCTCTTTTATGCGCATGAATACGACTTCCCCGTGGAGTTCCTTGTGCGAGATGAGTGAGATAATGGCACAGGAATACGCGCAGCTGAAGTCCGTCTTCCCGTCTGGTCACCCGTACCTGACAGGGCCCCTTGATAGTGACCACTTCTTTTACTTTGTTTATGACGCGATTGAACGGAATGTTTTGGGCGCCCCACCCGAAGACGATGTGCAGATCAATGTTTATATGTACAATGTCAAGACAGATGGGTCTGGTGACGACGATGATGCTCTAAAGAGCGTCCAACAGGTGGTTCCACTGTCAGAAACAGAGTACGAGATGCTGCGCGTCTCCACAGACAACATGGCGCATCCCTTTGCGGCATTTGAAACGAACTCCATGATAGCCGCTACGAAGAAGCGGGAGCTTGTGAGGGGTCTTCTGGAGAAATTTTGCCCCGACCGATTCACGATGGTTGTGTTGCAGGACCGCTGCAGTCCTCTTGCCCAGAAAGGCAGCATCTTTGACGAGATGGAGGGCTATACAATAATGAACCGGGCAACCAACCACTTTGGTCAGGGCTACGCGTTCCACCAGACCAGCTATATTCGCGCCGAATAACGGGCCAATGAAATAACAACAATAGAGAGAGAAAAAAAAGGGGAGGAGGAGGACGAGGGAGAGGAAAGCGAGTGGGCGACTGTTTCCTCTCATTCTTTTCTTCTTTTTTTTTTTTCTTTTATCTCTTTCTTGGGCATGTCTTTTTTTATTTGTTTCCACCTTTTTGTTTGTTTGTTTTATTTTTAAGAAATAAATACATCCTCCTTCTGTCATTTCCTGTGCCAGTTCACCGAGTTGTCTTCTTTGAAGCACTCAACACCACTTTTGCTGCGATCCCCCCTTAATTTTTATTTTTATTTTTCCGTTTGTGTATTTGAGTCAATACAAAACTGCTGAGCCGACTTCTTCCCCCGCTATTATTTTCCCCCTGCGCAGCATCCTTCACGCAGTGTGACTGCGTGAGCCGCCACACCAACTTCTCGCAATGAATACTGCGATAAGGGTCACTTTTTTAAGTGTGCGTGTCTACGTGCTTTACGCATGTGGCTCGTGAAGGATGCTGCGCAGTGGCAATGCCGGAAGAAATGAAAAAAACTGAGGGGCACAGAACAGGCGGCGGGAGGTGCTCTGTCACCCTACCTTTTGCCGTCATCTGTGACGTGTTCCCTCGAAAGAACCCGTACCTGGAACAAATGAAGTAGACCTCTACGGGGGGCATTTTTTTCTTAACCGCCGTGTCCATTTCTCGTGGGCACGCCGGCAGCTCGAACTGGCGGATAAGCACCTACTCTTTCGTGAATGAAGTGCGGCGGGCAGCACACACACTTACACACATTTCAAACACACGCAAATACTCCCGGAAGAGGGACCTAATTCGCATTGGAGGACTATTCTCACAGAAAATAATCTAAAAATATTATTATTATTTTTTGTTTTTGTATCATCTATAATTTTAATTTGCGTCTTTTCTTTTTTTTTTTTTTAAATCTGTCCTTTTGCTGCTATTTGGTGTGTTTTGCCGACAGATCGCAACACTGGGCTTTCGGCGCAAGTTTGTTGTTATTTTGTCATCTGCCTTTTTTTTTTTTTTTTTTTTTGGCGGAGGCGGCCGACGCCCTTTTCCCCACCGAAGTGTCGAGTCGTTTTTTTTGTGCCGCGCATTCCCCACAGTTCTCTCTCCCTTCCGCTTCAGTTGTGTGTGATGTTTTTTCGTGGCTCCGTTGCCGCAGCGGCGAGAGGGAGGAGAAATTTGTAGGGGCGGGAATGAGAAGCACCGTTTTTTTGTTTATTTTTGGCTCCAATGACACGGAGGTGTGGGAAATAATGCGGCCTACCGGCCAGCCATAATTTTAAAAGAATTGTGTCCTTTTTGTGAGTGTACGTATGTGCGTCCGTGTTTTTATGTAGCCAATGTGTGTACGTGTGTGTTGCCTTCTGCCGAGCCATTTCATCACGACCGGGTTTTGTTTTGTTTTTCGTTATTATTATTATTATTATTATTGGCGTGCTTCATCCTTAAATCATCAACAAGCAAAAGCAAGCAGCACCCCGCAGACGTGAGGGAAAATAAATTTATTGAACAATCAACAATGAGAGGAAATGAAAAAGAAAAGAATTTTTTGTTGTTGTTGTTCAATAATAAAAAGAAGAAGAAAAAAAAAAAACAACTCACGCCTGATTGACGAGGTGAGAGGCATTCAACTTGCTGTTGTTGTAACTATTTCCATTTGATAGAGCTGCCTTGGTGGTGTGTGTGTCCGCTGAGGGCACGGACGGGGAGAGAAAAAGAAGATATATATGGTTGTGTACGATAATCCCGATAAATAAGTGAACGGCCCACGAGAAGAGAAGCATCGTAATTTGTTGGAGTTCACTACAAAAGAAGAAAAGAAAAAAAAAGAAAAAACAAGAGGAACGGAGAGAAGAAACGTAATGAAAGAAGTCTTTTTTTTTCTTTGCGCCAAGAAGAAGGAATGAAGTACACATGAAGAAAATCGAGAAGCGGCGTTCTGCGTTGAGCCTCGATCTTCGTGATTCTTCTCTTTTTTTTTTCCCGCCCCGCTTCTCCTCTACCCGCTCCTTCTGTTTGTGGGCGTGTCGATATGCGTGGATGCGGGCGTCTACTGCAGGCAGTGCCTGTGACGCCGTCCCTCTCTGCACATGCGCACACATGCAAACAAATGAGAGGGAAAGGGAGAGTGAGAGGCAGTGTGGGAGTTGAGGAGAAACGAAGGGAGACTCACGCAATGGACGAATTCAGCAGGGGGGGGGAGGTATTTTTATTATCGCACGCAAATCATCATTTTTATTATTATATATATATAGCTTTTATTCCGAGTCGTACCAGAAGGAAAGAAAGGCAAAGGAATAGAAAACAATTTAATTATGAGCACAACAAACTGAAATGATCATTACAGAAGCCGAGGCATGTAGGAAAGGAAAGAATATGTAGTCTAATAGAGCTGCAGTGCACGGGGAGAGGAGAGAAGCGTGCAAAAGAGCAGCAAAGCGAGAGAAATAAAAAGAGAAAGAGAAGTGTATATATATATATGAGGATAAAGAAGAAAAATACCTTTTGTGTAATGGATTGGGCAATAAAAATTGGGATAACAATGCGAGAGGAAAGCCGAGGTGTAGGCTCCCAAAACGGGTAAAATAGGAGGAAAAATAGGGACAGATGGAAAGATGCGCGTATGGCGGCACATAGAAAATAGGTGAGAATGGAGAAGAGCAAGAGGCCAAGAAGGGGAGGGGAAAAGATGCATGAGAAGCTGAATGGCGAATGGGCATTTGAGAAAGGGGAGGAGAGGGGGGAGTTTTTCTCTTTTTTTTTTTTCTTTTCTTTCTCTTATGTGTGTGTATGGAGTTGGGAGACGGTTTGTGCGTGGATGGAAGAGAGACCAAGAAGAAAGAAAAGGAAAATTAACTTGACATCTTTTTCCTTTTCTTTTTTTTTTTTACACAAACACACACACACACACACGAAAGGGGTGGAGGCATCCTTTTGTTCTTCTCATTTTGGTTTTGTTGCCTTGTCCTTTTGGATTGTTTCTCTCCTTCTCCTTCTCTCTTTCCACCCGCCCCCAATTGCAAAAAGAAAAGAAAAAAAGACGCACGTGTGTAGGTATGCATGACGATAAATGAATATTTGCCTCTCCCCGCAATACGCGTCATCTGAGAAAAGGAGTTTTGTGATGCAGGCATGTGCTTGCGCGGGAAAATTCACATGCACATACATATGGGTTAGTTTTTGCCTTTATTGCCTCGTTCTCTTGTTGTGGGAGGGCTTGACCGCCGTCGACTCCTTTTTTTCTTTTTTGTTCAGGGAGTGGGGAGAAGTCTGGGCTCATGTGCGCTTTTCCTTTTTTTTTTCTCTTTTTTTTTTTTGTTTTGTTTTTTTCTTTTTTTTTTTGTTTGTTTTTTATGCGTGGGTGATTTCTGGAGAGGGAGTTGCCTTGCGGTGGCGGAGTCTCCTGCAGATGAGTCGCACGGAGCGACCCGGTGCGTCGAGAAATCGTGGGCCCAAAACGGCCAGTG